TGTGTTGTGTGTGTGTGTTGTGTGTTGTGTGTGTGTGTGTTTGTGTTTTTGTGTGTCTCTGTCTGTCTGTCTGTCTGTGTCTGTGTCCGTGTCCGTGTCCGTGTCTGTGTCTGTGTCTGTGTCTGTGTCCGTGTCCGTGTCTGTGTCTGTGCCTGTGTCTCTGTCTCTCTGTCTCTGTCTCTCTGTCTCTGTCTCTCTGTCTCTCTGTCTCTCTGTCTCTGTCTCTGCAATCTAATCGTAAGACTGAGGCCAGAATAATGTGGCCACTACAAGACTGATGAACCACGCTCTAGCCATGCTCGAAAAGTGCGAGGTGAATTGAAGAACAATTTGTGTTTATGATCAAGGTCATGACCAGTCGGACGTTGAGCACCGGAACAGCTACGGATATGAGGAGTAAGGTTGCAGACCAAGCACCGATGAGTGCCTATGCTGCGAACAACTTACCTAAACCCGAGTCAAAGCTGTGCGGTCAGGGCGCGACTTCTGCCACATGCTCCTCGGCTGCTGGACAAGTGAAGACCAAAACGCCATGTTGTCATGTGATCTTGTTTGCATAGCTGGAGCTCGGACATGCTGCTGTGTCGTATTGCATCTGTCGTCTTAGCTGATGCTGCGCAAAGTCTCGACTTCAGACAGGGCAGCGTCTCGCAGCCCCAGCGCCAAAAGCCTTCGAGCCCCGAAGAAAGTCCCTTCCGAAGCCAAGGCGCCGAACAGACTCCGAGCCGAGGCTGCCTTTGGTGCTGCCGAGGTCAGACAGTGGCGTGTGGGCACGGCCTGCCGAGGATTCGAGTTCCTCCCAAGGGGCTCCTTTAAAGTAGGGGCTTTAAAAAGGGGGCCTTTTTTTATTCCGCACCCACCGAGCTCACTGAGTCATACAGCCGAAGGTTTGGTTTGAGGTTCAGGACTTAGAGATGCAAAGTCGCCAAAATCCCTGAAACTTAGCCTAGGCTGATGAACAGCGTTTTGGCACGGCAGCAAGGTGTGAAGAAGCCCGCCTGTTTCAACAAATGCGTTGGCAAGGCCTGCCAAATCCTTGGATCGCGTAGGCGACAAGTGACAACAGGGTCCTAAACATAGCAATGACAATAAGAAGAATAAGAAGGAGGAGAGACATGATACAGTACTTGTCGCCATCACGAAAAATGACCTCCAATAACCATGCGAGTAAAAGCAGTAGCAGCTGCAACACCCATCTGCATCCCGGATGACGTGAGCAACGCTTCAGAAGGCAATGAAGTCGCGGCAGGCCCCTCTCTTTTTCATACGCTGCATCCTCGCGCCTTCGCTTCCCGGACCTAAAAGACCTCTTTCATCATATAGGAATCAGACAAACTGTCTACCATAATGAACAATCACTTTAAACTAAAGTCAAGAAAGCATGGACAATAAGAGACCTTTTGCACCTCTACAGTTCGTGCCCATCTCCTCATTTGGTCCTCGGCTGCGCACTGATGTACAAAACGTTGTTTCCGCGGATGAAGGTGTCGCCGTACTTGTGCTTGAGCTGACCGTCCACATACTCCTCTGTCTGCTCCATGGCGAGGTTCATGTAGCCTGATCTGCCAGGATAAACCCTGAACCCTCAAACGTCGAACCCTAGGCCCCAAACCCTAAGCCACCTCATGCTCAGAAAGTCCCCAGTCGATACCCGAAGCACCTGACATTTCCTGTCGGCCAGGAGACGAGAGGATTCATGCGGTTGCTTTCTTTTGTGTTCTGTATATGTGTTCGGACCGCTCAGACTGCGAAAACCTGGGAACTCCTGTGTTTCTCCGTTTTCGAAGACTCCATGTTGAGGTATCGAGAAACAACACACCCTGAACATGGTCAGTGTGACCTGTGATAACGGCCGATCTGCGCTCGCCCATCACAGCTTTCGAGCTGGTGCATGCCAGTTGGCACCCCTATCTTCCCCAATCTAAACTAAACCCAAGTCCTTAAAACCCTAACCTCCAGCGCACCTGATCAACCCTATCAAAGCCAAATGAAAAAACAACCCAAAAAGGTACAAGTGGCCGTCAAGGCAGGCCAGGATTCCACGGTAGTCTGCGCCATTGTTCAGCTTCACGATGACGGGGCGGCCCAAGACCTGCTTTGTTTAGCTTAGGGCTTCGTTCGACGACGACGACGACTACTACTACTACCACTGCTGCTGCTGCTGCTCCTCCTCCTCCTCCTCCTGCTGCTGCTGTGCTTCTTTGCTTCTGATAGCGCCATGCACTCTGCCACTGCAACTGCTACTGCTACTACGACAGCGGCTACGGCTACTGTTACTGCTGTGCTGCGGCTGCTGCTGCTGCTGCTGCTGCTGCTGCCGCTGCTGCTGCTGCTGCTGCTACTACCACCACCACCAGCACCACTACTACCGCTACCACTACCGCTACCGCTCCCGCTCCCGCTACCGCTACCACTACCACTACCACTACCACTACCACTACCACTACCACTACCACTACGACGACAACGACTACGACAACGACGACGACGACTACCACCACCACCACCACCACCACCACCACCACTGCTACTGCTACTGCTACAGCTACAGCTACTGCTGCTGCTGCTGCTACTTCTACTACTACGACGACGACTACTACAAATAATAAAGAATAATCGTAATTACTACCACTACCACTACTACTACTACTACTACTACTACTACGACTACCACTTCCACTACCACTACCACTACCCACTACCACTACTACTACTACTACGACGACGACGACGACGGCGACGACGACGACAAAAACCACCACCACCACCACCACCACCACTAGTGTAGTCGCCCTCATCGCAGACGTCCATAATAGCATGATGGTGGTGGTGGTGGTGGCGGTGGCGATGGTCGTGGCGGTAGACGGCGGGGCGATGGTCGTCGTAGTAGCAGTGGTGGCGGTGTCGGCGACAACGTGAATTTGATGTACGTCTGTGTCTAGCGGTAGATGGCGGCAGCAGCAATGGTGGTAGTGGTGGTAGCAGTGGTGGCGGTGTCGGCGACAATGTGAATTTGATGTACGTCGTGTCTAACGGGACATGTAGCGGGAATGGTGCCGACGGGAACACTCAGCATAACAAACCAAAAAAAGAATATCAATCAACATTGCATGGGCTAGGGTAAAGTGCTCGGGATCCTGGGTTTGGACACTAGTTTCGAAGCCTGCTTGATGAAATCTCCCGGGGACTTCTTGGACATGGCTTGGAGGTGGATTTGTTGGAGCCCGGCTATTCTTTTTTCTTCCACCCGCGACTCTTGAGCCCAAACTGCAACGCACGCAACGTATCGCTACGCAGCTGCCAAGGAGCGCAGATCTGAAGCACGTACTGCCACAATTCAGGCAATATCGGCAAAGCCCTCCATGCCAACTCCAAACCATAGATGCAAAGCGAAGCATGACGGTAGCCATTCACACGACAGAGGGGTGAACTACCATCAAGACAAGCTTCTGCTCGTGGGGAGGTCTTGCCCTGGACGTGCGCCTCGTTCCATAGGGCGCATAAGGAACGGTTATTTGGGACTTCTGATTTTGGCTGATCGTTTCGAGGCTAGGAGGCTCAAGGGCTTGCTTTTGGGCTTTGCTTTCGGGATATCGGAAGCGAGGATTTCTGGTTCGCTGCGCGGCTGGAGGTTTCTCGTGCCGCACGAGATTGAGTTGCACTACGTAAGAATTCCACGCTGCCATAACAGAACCTTCAAAGAAAGCCTTAAAGCCTTGAAGACCTCCAGGACCCCTGAGTCTTGAAGGCTCGGCTCTGGCTCTGGCACAGAACGCGCATCGGGAGGCGTCCGCTCACAGAAAATGGCTGCGAAGGTCGGGTTTGGAGAGCTGAGTTTGGGGTAGATTGAGAAGGCCTCTGGGGTCAACGTCCCGACATCTACGCACGGCAGCGTAAGGCGTAAGAAACACAAGCGTTTCAAGTCGTCCAGCAGAAGGAAGCCCAGGAACCACTGTCAAGCAGCCGTTCCAAGATCAACCTGTTTGCCACCGAGTGCGAAGCTTTGAGCTCACCCACAAGAACCGACACAAGCCATGCAACCATTGTCAACACGCCCACCACAACCTCGAGACCTTCGGCAGGAAGCGTGCCTTCGGCGTGTCCACTGTGGCAAAACCTCGGGGTCTTGGTATTGGGTTTTCTGAAACCCAAAACCTGAGCAGACCCTGCGCAGCTTCTCCCAAGCAGGGATGACATGCGATATCTGCCTATCCCGAGGCCTTTGCCAAGCAGGCAGTAGATTTACGATCTCTGAGCAAGAAGCTTTGACCACGGTAGAGCTCAATCAAGCTTCCGATGCCAATGCTCCTGCACGGCGATCTCGCGTCAGAGGGACAGACTTACAAACAGACAGACAGACAGACAGACAGACAGACAGACAGAGAGACAGACAGACAAAGACGCAGAGACAGAAAGAGAGAGAGAGAGAGAGACAGAGAGACAGAGAGAGAACGAGAAAGAAAGAAATAAATAAAGAACGAAAGAAAGAAAGAAACAAACAAAGAAAGATAGACAGAGGACGCGAAGAAAAGAAAGTAACTATTGTATAACCAAAATCTATGCAAAAAAAGTCATCTCCAACACGAAGGATACAACCAGACCAAATCGCTTTAGGAGGTCAAAAGCGAAGAAAAGAAATTAAATACTGCGTAACCGAAAAATAAACAAAAACATCTTCTCCAACACGAACGAAGAAGCCACACGAAATCGTTCCAGGGGGGTTAAAGCCAAGAAAAGAAATTAAAGACTGCATAACCGAAAAATAAACCAAAAACATCTTCTCCAACACGAAGGAAGAAGCCACACGAAATCGCCTTAAGGGGTTGAAAACGAAGAAAAGAAATTAAATACTCCTACCCGGGACTCCAGAAGTGTGCTTTTGTGTGTCTAAACTAAATAAACCCTATAAAAGGTTTGTTTTCTATGTCTAGAGTCTAAACTAACTGGACTCGAAGGTTTGTTTTTTTGCGTTTACACTCACTTGCACCTACCCGGGACACCGAAGGTTTGTGTTTCTGCTTCTAAACTAAATAAACCCTACAACAGGTTTGTCTTCTGTGTCTAAACGAACCTGCGCCTACCCGGGACTCCGAAAGTTTGGCTTTGTGTGTCGAAACAAGATAAGCCTGTAACAGGTTTGTTTTCTATTTCTAAACCAACTTGCGTCTGCCCTATTTGAGATAGAGAAAGACTTAAAGAGGGAGCACAGGCTGTGGAGTAGCTCTTTTGGTGAGTGGCTGGTGCAGGGTTGGCGGAAGCTTAAGGAACATGGACGGATCCTGCAAGTTGAGGAACTTGCATCCTGCAGTGAGTTGTCAGACCTTACATTCTGGAACAAAGCACAACTGGAGCACCAGGCGCTAGGGTGCCCTAAACTCCAAACCCTGAACCCGTGGTGCAGTCCTCTGTCGTTCCCTAGCAAATTGTGCCAAGCTTGCTGGCGACTTCGTGGGAGTTGGCAACTCCACGACCTGGGAAAGGGAACAGCAGCAGTGTGGGGGGTCAGGGCATTACGCTCTCAGAACTCGGACAAGCCAGGCGAGGTTCATGGTGCGAAGTCGGTCAAGGCTTTAGGGTTTAGGGTTCTAGGCTTTAGGTTTCGATTCTCACAACTGGGGCAGAGTTTAGGGTTTCGACTTTTGGGGGATATGGCCATTCTGTCAGGACGTGGACAGGAAGACGGAACAACTTGCAACAAGGCAGCCCGGAAACAGTCAACTCTGGTACTGCTTCCCATTCAGTTGAGGGGGGACGGGAAACAGTTGTGAAACTGTGAGGTGCTTCAGCAACGCGAAGCCGCCTCAACCCTGAACCCTCAAGCCTTGATTACACATCTAGGCACGGTCGAGGCATCCTTGGGTGTGGTCGCCCGGTCCTGCGCAGGTAGTATGTTCCAAGCTTGAGATTTGTAGAAGGCCAAAAAGGCCGCTGTTCGAGGCTTCGGAAAGTTTTGGATTATGCATGGCAGCCGAGGGTCCAAGTCCACAGGTTTGACAGCGTAGGTACTAGTACTACGAGTCCACATTGCCGGGCTTCGGAATCATGGGACAGTTGGGCACGTGAACCGGCGCCGTTCCGTCGTATTGGTTCCGGGACTAGGACTACATGAACGGCCTTATCCTGCAGCTGTGTATGCAAACAGGGGACGGCTGCACATGTGGCACACACACCGTATTTTGCAAAAGTTGAGAGGGAACTTGCCGCATATCTCAGGTGGCGTTCCGAGAATTTGATTCATTACCATATCTATTGGGCGTCTGGGCCGGGATCTCGGCTGCCGAGATTAGAGCACGGCTTGTGGCTCCAGCTGACAGAACTGCGGTAGTCCAAACTTAATAGCTTCTGCAAAGGCTCGAAGATCCTTACGAGACTATCATTGCAGTCTGATTTGTTAGCTCTTGCAACGGTGCTGCCACCAACAAGTGCTGCTGGTTATGCTGCCATTGGGGATGCTCTGCTATCGCTGCTTCTATCACGTCTACTACTAGTATAAGCGATTGACATCGTGCATGCTTCTTGCTGCTGCTTACCACGAAGTGTCAAGTATCCTTGACAGTGAAGCCGATACTCCCAACAAAGACGGTGATGGTAATTGCGCACCAAGAGTTGTGACTCACTGCTTATGGCAAAAATCGGTATTAAGAATTGTCGGAAGCTAAGGGGGTTCCTTACTATGAAATATGACAATAGTCCCTAATGTCTCATGAACCCTTCAAACATCCCGAAGGCCGAGGTCCTGCAAACTCCAGGGTTCCAAGCTGGCCGCGGAAGCAGGTCTATAGACGGTGCCTGTGGAGACTTCCAGATTCTCTGAGGAGCAATAACAACAACGACAACTGTGAGAAGAAGAAGAAGAAGATGAAGATGGGGAGGAATAAGAATAAGAGTAACAATAATGCTAAATGCGAAAGATGCTACTAGTCAAGATAGCAGCAATGCTAATGATCCTAACCTGAGGTTTGGAGTCTAAGAGCGTGCCTCGTGCGGGTTTTCGGTTCCAGGTTAGGGTGGCGACAGGAGGCTAAATGTTGCTGTTTACACCGGTGCTTCCGAATTCAGAGTTCGAGGCTGGGCGTAGCTTTTACTTAGGCTTCAAGATAAGCCTGCGGACGTTGGGCTCACGAATTACCGGCGTGTACGCAGGCTTTTGAGGGACTGAGAGAAAACAAAGGGGATGCGATCCTCAGACGTGAACCGACAATTGTCTGACCAACGCACTTAAGGATCAATTTCAGCGGGGAGTTTGAGGGGCATCATCGTGCAATTGCGGCACGCTGGATTCTCGCAAATTATGTCGAAAACTTACTTGACCCGCGTCTGCCCAGGAGGTTCAAAGCTATTTGGGTTCGCACTCTCATGCGCCAACATTTCAAGCAAAGCTGGCTGGCTTCACGAATACAAGACCCAGCTTCAAGCAACACACGACTGTACGCCCTAATAATATCCCGGACGCCGACCCCTTCCTGCACACGACCATGAAGTACCACTACCCCTTGAGGACAGAATCAAAGGACAACGCAACATTTTGACATGTGAGATCCTTGGACGCCGATCTTCATCGGCTAGACAGTGAATCGTGGATCCAATAAATGGTAGGCGAAGGAAGTACTTAAAGGATCATGGGACTTAGTGACTGAGGTTATAAATAAGGTAACTATATCAAGATCCTCCAAGTATGGTCTTGATGTGGCGAGAAAAGTAAGGTTCCTGGCCTGAAACTGGCACACGGCCGATCGAGCGTGAACAGCCCTGACTGGCAGGCCGTGACAGCCCCATCGGCCGGTGACACGTCGAGCATAGCAGTTCAAGAGCTAAACGATCTGTATCTGACTGCAACGAAAGGCTAACTTCTGGCATGTCTGTGTCTAGGTGAGGGGGTTCAGCGGCTTTGCGGTGGCAAAGCGATGAGGCATATGGATGGCAAAAACCCCATGCAACATCAACAGTCAAAAATTTGCTGTTGATGCGGTTCTCCGTAATACTCTGAGGCAATGCGGCGGCGAAGGATTGCCAGCATCAACAGGAGTAACAATATCAACAACCATGACACATGCATACACATGTGCTGTTGAAATCTGCAGGAGACTGTGCTATCACCGGACATATTGCCATCGGATCAGCAAAGGAGGATGTCTTCCGGGCGCGGTTGAAACCGCACCAAGTCTCTTTCTGCTGGTTATGGCTGGAGGATGCAGAAAC